TCGGAAAGTTTCACATACAAGCATTTCCCCCCTGGTTTTACAAATATAGATGCAGATTGTATTTTCGTAACACATATGAGAGATTTAAAGTTTGGCATTATTCAGTAGATGCACATTCAGCCACCATTCTGAAGGAATTTTGAACATTTTAGACTAGAAGTATCAATTCTGCATTTCAGATTAAGTGTCTCGTCACAGCGTAGACAAGAATTATTGTACTTTAGTTCTTTTGGGTATAAGGAAAATAAATAACATTGTATCTGGTATAATGCAGCGTACCCGGAATACCTAGTTTTCAAAAGTTTCGACTAAACAGCGACCAACCAGGATGAGCCATACACATAATTCTTGATGAAAATACATCATTTAGATCCATGTTTTCGTTCATTTAGCATTTTGTGCATTTTGAGAATCCGGGAAATTAAAAATAATATAAATACACAGCCTGCTGGCTTCAACAGTTGACGTAAAATAAAATAGATCTAAAAGTTTGATTTACAACATATCAGTAAAAAGGTTAATCAAGAAATATTTTACCAAATAATATGTTATTAAAATATTTTTCAATCAGACACGTGAGAAATTGAGCCTATTACGGGCATTTTAAGAATCTGGTGCAACACGTAATCTAATTTAAGACTTATTTGGTTGTAATCAAAACAAGTATTCGTTTCGAATAGATGAGGTAACACATTTTGCAATGAATGGCCATATTGACTTAGGTCGTTAGAAATCTGCATATATAGAGCGTTATAAAAAATTTGAGCTAACAAAATAAATTATGATTTCAGCTGCTCGTCTTGATGAAATATTGATTGTTGGTTCTTCAATACTTTGCCATGCTCTTGATCACTCAAAGAACAGTTAATTAGGTAATAATTTAGATCACTTAAAATGTACAATTGCTTCTGTGGTGGGCAGGCAAGTCTGGTATGATATGGAAAAATGTTGCTGGTACAATTTACAACCTATTCAACTTGTGCAGCAAAATTAAACAAGCTTTAATATTGCATTGTGCTGGGAATGATATTGGTAAGGTACCATGTGATGATCTCCTTTATCACTTAAACTTAAAAAGCATATTATCTCGTATGCTTATAAAATGTTCACTTATATGGTCAAGCATTATTACTTGGCGTTCCTGGCGTTACTCAATAATGACCATGCCATAGGAGCTTAATGAAAGAGGGGTGATGTCTTAAGCTTGAATACTAACATATGGAGGAATTGTGGTTATGTATCCTGATTTTGACAACCGTCACAGTTTCATATTTTGACGACGGAGTACATTTGTCATTTATTGGAAATGATATTTACTTTTGATCAACAACAATCATCAATAGAAACATTTATTAAGCATCCATATTGTTTTATATTATAAAAATAAAACAAACATAATTTTGGTTGACACTAAAAAACAAAACATCAATATATAGCCGGTAGTGAAATTTGGTTGCTGTAAAAATGATAAATACACAATATGTTATAGTTATTGACCAAACAAGTGGGTATATATCATTTAATCTGCACGGCTCGGGTGGCCATTATTAGGAGTTCGGGTGAAAGGGTCATCCCGACTGTGCAGATTTAATGATATATACCGATTTGATTGGCCAATAACTGTTTTGACACATGTCGCCATCAATTTACGTGAACGTTTTCGAAATATGCGGACGATATTCCACAATCCACGTTTCCTAGTAAAGTTTTTATTGTAGGGTAAAGAATGGGGGAAATACGTCTTTACGTAGTAAAAGTTTGGTAAGTTTTAAAGTGTTAGCTTTTTTTTTTAGGCTTCTTCCTAAATTGTTACATTATTTGAAGAATTGCGATTTAATGGGTACCGTAGATTCTTTTTTGTTGTTTCTGTTAAATGTATTCACAATTTTTATATAAATTAGTGACGATTAAGAATTTGACCGATTGTGTAGACACCTTTATCTACTGTTGAAAACTATATGTTGCCTGCTAGATGTCATTTGTTGTTTTTTGTCGTTTGATTGCTTTCTTATTGACGTATAACCTACATCTCTTACAGTTTTAGTTCCGTTTGATGTTCTTTCAAATCGGTGAATGACAAATCATAACTGAAAAGGTTATTGAGTATATTAGATTAATTGCGTTTCTTTCCTAGAGAAAGATGAACCGAGGAGAGATGTTAGTACCTAAATTTGGAATGTTAAATAAACAGAAAAAAACATTTCACTTTCCAATCTTAAACTCTCCCCCAAATTTCTTTTTCTACTGTATTAATTTTTGAAGACATGACGACATTATATTCGATCCCAAAATAGTCACCTAATAGGAATAAATATTCAAAAAGTCGTAATGTATTCCGTTGAACACAAAACTAATCCAAATTAGTTTTCATTTATTTGGATATTCTAAAATACATTCCTTTTTTGGCAGACTTAAAAAAATAGTTATTAGCTGGTTTGACTTTGAAACACTGATTTAAGATTTACATTGTACACAAAATATCATAAAATATTTTATGTCCTTGTTTGAGGAATTAGAAACACTTTCGTTTTCATATCTTTACACTAAAATCGTCAAAATTGTTTTTAGTCTCGCTACACTCGGTGTAATTTTATGGAATTAAACGTCTTTCAAAATCCAGGATCCGCCCCTAAAGGTACCTTTGAACTGTGCAGTATATCTGAGGTAGTTAATACATACCTTAGCTGTGCATCATCCAGATTATAGCACAGTAAGAACAAAGAGATTTTACGTAAGCCATGTGTTAAGTTTAATTATTCTGATTGCGTGCTATGTTGTTAAAGTTGCTCATAGCTTTTATATGTCTTGGATTGTCATGGGTAAATTTTGTGGCGGCTTATCATTCTTTACTTATAGTTCGAATGATAATGTTGGCGTAATTTACTGGATTTTATGCAGACTATGGATATCCCAGCTGCTACTTGTGAAATATTGCTGACTTGACCGCCCTTCAGTACACCAGCTTTGGATCGCCTTGCTGTTATACAATGATAAGTTCAATCATCATCAAGATTTTATTTTGACTGACAAATAATTTGGTTGTGTACTGTTGTTGTAACAGTTGTTGTTGTTGTTGTTTGAATGAATTTTGATTAAATATTGCCATGACAATTCATAAGCCAACCTAAATCAGTGTTTGTTATTTGTTGTAGTGATATATACAATTGTCATCAATGATATTTGTTTGTATACATTTTGATATTTGGGTAATAAACAACAAGTTTATTATTTTGATAAAAGGATATATTCAATAGTATAATTTAATTAGATTAAAATTAAATTCGTTTATTGAATTAGCAAATAATTGTACTGACAGGCTTGGCAAATCGAGTCGTCCTGTATTGCTATTGTTATGCTAATTCGAGCATGCGAGAGTTTGCCGTAAAACTTCGTGCACTTTGATAGTTCACATTTACATTTAAAACCAAGATGAGAAGATGTTGAAAAATTTAGACCCACCCTCCTCGACCCATATACATTGAGCTATGTTGCTGCTGTTCTTATTTATTTTTCAGATGCTCCAGTCTTCATACATCTATCCGTCATGATGGTAATATCATGGAATAATTATATACACAACAGGAGAGTAATTTACTTGATTTTATGCAGACTATGGATATCCCAGCTGCTACTTGTGAAATATTGCTGACTGGACCGCCCTTCAGTACACCAGCTTTGGATCGCCCAGCTGTTATACAATGATTAGTTCAATCGTCATCAAGATTTTATTTTGACAGAGAAATAATTTGGTTGTGTACTGTTGTTGTAACAGTTGTTGTTGTTGTTGTTGTTTGAATGAATTTTGATGAAATGTTGCCATGACAATTCATAAGCCAACCTAAATCAGTGTTTGTAACAGTTATTTGTTGTAGTGATATATACAAACGTCATCAATGATATCTGTTTGTACACATTTTGATATTTGGGTAATAAACAACAAGTTTATTGTTTTGATAAAAGGTCTGTATATTTATAACTATAACTTAACTACAGGTTAATTGGTTAATCGTTCGAAGATTTTCCGAGTAAACGGTTAGAAAAAACCGTTCGACCTGACAACACTTAGTAAAAATGTATATTATATAATGTTTTTACAAGTTAGCTTTGTAGATTTTAGCGTTTGAATTGTGGGTATATTTTTTTGTAAAAAAAAATAATTAAAATATTTTAATCCTATTATCCTCAAATATTACACATACTAAATGTTTTTAGACAAGAACCCAACAGGGTAATATTGAACATTTTCTTTTAATTACTTTTAGAGATTAGTACATTGTCTTCAATATGAACGTACGAATTAAAACTTTAAAGAGGGTCTTGATGGGGTTTATTGAAAAGAGAATAATGGAAAACGCGTGGAATATAAAATGGTTAGAAAATAAGGAATAGAGAAAAATAGGCCAAAAACTAAAGAATAAAGAATAATGGAGAAAATGTATGAAGAATAGAGATTATTTGGCAAAATGTATTTATAAATTAAGAATAGAGATATGGCTAAAAAATTAAATACTACAGAATCGAAGGACCCCCATCTAGACCCTTAAAAGCCAATGATGTATACAAACCGAAACCGTTGAAGAGCTATATGACCTAAAAAAAGGCCTTAAATAGCTTAATTCAATCCAAGGTCATCTTTGCCTGAGGTAGTATTAGCATAAAACATATAGCTCCAGAGAACCATTGACTCGACGAGATCCCTTACTTAGACGTTTAAACGTGGGGAAAAAGGGGGAGAGGGTGGTGTAACAACTATTCCTTTTTAATACTTTTAAGACTTAATCCTCGTCAATGTTGTCTTGATCTATGTACATGTACAACGTATTAACAAAACTTTGACTATAGCTTGTACATGTATAGTACATCTTATTTTATTTATATGGTACACCTCCGCTTTCTGCCTGCCCTCTGTACTAGTATTGGAAAATGAAGGTCAACTCTGTTCTGAAGATTCATATATCGTTTATAACTAGATAACAATAAGGTGGGTGAAATAGTGTGCTTTTATTAGTACATAATTATGTTGTTTACGCTATGAATGCATATCGATAGACTGAGTATCAAAATAGAAGTGTTTGGCGTTTAACCATGTTAACAGCATTGTTTTTTAAAACATGTTACCATTGTAACAAACAAGGTTTAATTATTTGTCTATTAAAAAACACATACACGCAATAAAACTACCCATGAACTATATCATGTATATTTGCAACGTATACTTTTACCTAGTGAGTGTATATTCATCATTTGTAAATATTCAGTGCTACAAAATGTATATTCACGCCGGTCTTTGTGTATACTGTAACAGTTTGGAGGTGTAACGACGCGATGAATTAATTGAAAAAAAAAATATTACAAAAGCATTACCTTGAAATAAAAATCATATCAGTAAGATATTTCAATGAGATAACATTATATATGAAAATTATATATATGTAACAAAAGTTGAAAGGTCATAAAGTAGACCGTAACGTCGTAGCTCTAGATTTGTATTAGTGACATGTTTAATATAAGTGTGTATAAACATCAATTTAAGCGATTTTCAAAGTTCGTTTCAAGTAAGTATCCTTTACAGAATTTCATTTTACAACCAAGATAAGTGTTGAAAAAATATTTATTTCAGAATTTAACTAATATACAATGTAGCTTTGGTACAAGGAAATAGTTTTATGTTACGTACAGTAAAACTGAAAAAACCCTGTAAATTTGCAATGTATAAAACATTTTTTTTCATGTATTGTATGTTTCTTGTGTATATTATCACTGTGTCTAAACGACACTGGCAAAAAATGTTTGGACTCGATGGTATCTAATAACTGGCACGGTGACGGAACATTAATAGACAGAGAAAGGTAGGTTACTGTTTATTTATTTGTTACTTTTATGATATCGAAGAATTTATATACATATATAACTATTTTCTATTGTGAGATTTAGTTTTTTCTACAACCGTTCTAGATTAACGGAGAAATAAGTAAAAATGCACGTCAAAATTACGAATTGAGTGAACCTTGCCTCGAATTTGTTTAATATCTCGTTAAATTGTTCACAATGTACGGAAAGAAAGGTATGGAAAGAAAGATATTGACATGGAGATTGCAAAACTAACCACTTTGAGCACCTCAATACTTGTATTTCTGTGTATGGAACGAAAGAAATGGGTCATGTCAATATGGAAGGAGCCGGTTTTGTCAATGTGTACAACCCGGTTTTGTCCTAGATTTCACAAGGCAGAACCTGGTTTTGTCAAAGAAAAAATGCATAATCGCATAACATAATTGAACTTCGGCGTTTAAAAGGAGTCTGGTGGCTCGTTGGAAAACGATTTCTTTCTTGAGGTTTAAGTTCTCTATACTTTTTTTATATGACATATGTAAATGTAAGTGATCAAACTTGAAATTAGAGTTTACGGTCTTAAACATTGAAACACGCACATTTGTTATGTGATGTTCTTGCAAAACAGGATGGTTATCTTTATATAAGTAATCCAATCTACCAAGGGGTGTAATCTTTCCTATGATCGTTTAAAATAAACCTTCTTGAGACTAAGTGTTTATTATAAGACATGATAAGAAGACAAATGTATATGCATGCAGAATCGCCATAGAAAATGAATGTTTATGGGGAGAAAAGGATAATACTAAGTATATATTTGTATATTAGTTTCAGGCCATCAAGAAAATGCAATTATTAATGATTATTTTATTAATAGTTCTATAAATAAACGGTTCTGTTATCTCTCCATTGTGTTATGATTATCGTACATTGACGTTGGTCAATATATTATTGACAATATATAGGGACGGATTTAGGTTTAATTTTTCAAAGTTGGGCGTAATTCAAACAACTTACATATTTTTTGGACGATTTTAAGCACAAAAAAAATTCGTAAAAAACATTTAATTTTTTTGGGGCCATCAAAGGTTGGGGTGGGGGCGTGCGACCTATACGTCGCCTGGATTCGTCACTAATGTTATATATATATAACTAAATCGTATACCAACGTAGAATTTTATAAGAAATATCAGCGATTTCCTAACAAAATGAACAGCTAGCTGTGAATGTCACACTGATAATGGTTGATACCCATGATCAAGGTTAACATTTCGTGTTCAATATAAAAAAGAAGATGTGGTATGATTGCCAATGAGACAACTCTCCACAAAAGACCAAATAACACAGAAATTAACAGCTACAGGTCACCGTACGGCCTGCAACAAAGAGCAAAGCCCATACCGCATATATAGTCAGCTATAAAAGGCCCCCAAATCACAAATGTAAAACAAATTAATTCAAACGAGAAAACTGACGGCCTAATTAATGTACAAAAAAGGAACGAAAACAAATGTGTAACACAAGTCCGTATCTCTAATACCATAAGTAATAGGTCAACTATATTTGCTCATATGGTCACATGACTATTTATGTGACCTTGAACTTATTTTCTTGATTAATTGGTAAATGTTAAGTTTGACAAAACCGGCTCCTTCCATTTTGACATGACCCATTTCTTTCGTTCCATACACAGAAATACAAGTATTGGGGTGCTCAAAGTGGCTAGTTTTGCAATCCCCGTGTCAATATTTTTTCTTTCCGTACCTTTCGTCCCGTACAATGTGAACAATTTAACCAGATATTAAACAAATTCGAGGCAACTTGAAGGTTCACTCAATTCGTCATTTTGACATGCATTTTTACTTACTTCTTCGTTATCTAGAACGTTTGAAAAAATTTTACATCTCACAATAGAAAATAGTTATATATGTATATATATTCTTCATATCATAAAAATAACAAATACATAAACAGAAACCTACATTTTCTCTGTCTATTAATGTTCTGTCACCGTGCCGGATATTAGATACCATCGAGTCCAAACATTTTTTGCCGGTTTTACTTTTTGCAATAAAGTATATTATATATAATTGCAACTACTGAACAAGTTAATGGGGAAAAATGTAAGATCAATCATTTCGACTTTAGGAAATATTGCATACGAATAATGCTATGATCATACTTCGAAATACGTGTTTATATTTTTGTGAACTTTTCAGTCACAATTTTTGTAACATAAAATATCGCAAAAATTTTTGAATTTACACTTTTTATTGCACTCTGTTTATGTCACTTTGTAAATATGGCTGGTTCATGCACATACTAATCCACTTTTATTTTTTTCTCCTATAGATATATATATTTCTCTAATTCTTCGTCAATTTATCCCTTTCTGCACCCATTGTATAAAAAAAATTTAATCAATGTGCGGTTCGTTGGATCTCAGTTCTTCATTGGTTAAAATCCGATTATGACGTCGAATTTTCTTGCTTTCCTCTGAATTTCCTATTGTTTCGGCATGAAAAAAGGCGACCATGCCTGATGACGTCACATAGAAAGAACACATCTTTCTACAGATCATTTGAAAAGAAGGAATAAATTTGCCTGCGTATTGTTTGAAAATCATTAGTAACAGATTCCACCACCAAATCTCGTGTAATACGATATTTATCCACTCTCGACAGTTAAATTTTAAATATTTAAAACGCTCGGCGAGCCTCGCGTTTTAAATTTGAAAATTTAACTGTTTCGAGTGGATAAATATCGTATCACACTCGATGCAGTGGTAGAATCTATATATATAGAATATAAAAATAATGAGTTGTGATATCATTGCCAATGTTACAGCTATCAATCGGTGTTCAAATGAAGTGGGTATAAGAATTCATAGGTATAAAAAGAGTAAAACCCATACTGTATAGTCAGCAATAAAAACAAACTCGATATGTAGCTCCCCTCGTATTGCTCATGGTCAGTATAGATTCGGTGGAAAGTGTCGTTCGCTGATGTCAGATTTAAGAAAAATAGCAAGACAGTGTGGCTACGATTTCTAAAAATGCAGTGTAGTAAAATTATCACAGTTAACGTCGTAACGTTTTCTATATTTTTATTTTCGAAGATAATTCATAGATTCAAATTTATGTGTTTTATTAGATGGTTTTCTTTACAAAAATTTTGTTTAATAAGTTTTTTGAAAAATTATTAGTTAAAGAAAAACTGTCCTAGTTGGAAATACAATGTGTTTTACTTCTTCTTTTGGGACCAAACTTATAGAGGTTCAAAATATCTGCACGGTTTTATAAAAATCATGGCCACTTCCAGACCATTTTATTAAATGTGGGAACGGTTACTAGATTTTGAAGTACTATTGAATATAATGTTCAATGGCGACTATTTAAACTTCTATGCAATATTTGTTTAGTATGAAATGCAATTAAAAGTATGCTCTTTAATTGATTTTAAGTTTTGTAAATGATGGATTTGAATGTGGAGAAACTCAAGGAACTGAAAAAAACCATGACACCGATTCCATTACCAGAGTTTAAAGGAGTACGATTCCCAGCTACCATTCCAATCAGAGAAAAGGGAGTAGAGAAAGCTTTACAAGACGTAAGGGAAATTCAGTCCAGAGATTCAGATATTATGATCTGCACATATCCAAAATCAGGTTAGGGAGATACCATTTGAATTCAAGAGGGGGGGGGGGGGGGGGGGGGGGGGGGGGGGGGGAGGGTTTGGATGAAAAATGTTGTCCTGCATTTTTTTTTAGTTGTAATCTCTGTCCTGCATTTTTTTCTCACTCTATTCGATCCTGTCATTTTTATTAGTTTCTCCTGACTTTTGTTTACACAAAAAAGCGAATGACAGCTCCCTTATATTATTAAAACACTACATTTTTGATTCATTATTATTAATTGGTTATAAAATTTTCGCGGATTTCGTGGGTACAGGAGAATCTTGAATTGAAATGTTCAGCGAATTCAAAATTTTCTATTGGGAAGTATGCAGACTTCGTAAACACTGGAAATAAAAAAATCCACAAAAATGCAAGTTTTCTGCAATCTAAAAAAAATTGGTACCCACATAATCAAATGAATCATCATTTAAGAAAATAACTTTTAATTATAAGAGATTTTCCCGAACATCTGAAATTCACATAGTAGTATTTGTCTATCATACATTTACATGTCCTATGTCGAATTTACATATTAGAGCTGTTACAATGATTGTGATATTTTTCTTAGTATATCAGATGACAGAGGTATTGTTGTCTGAATATACATGTACTAATATGAAGGTGTGGATGGGGGGTCCTACATTTCTGTATTCTTTTAATTTTTTAGACCATTTTTCTCTATTCTTTATAAGTTTTGCATCCTGTTCTCTTTCTAACCTCCCCAATGATCTCCATTCTTTTTTTTTCTATTCTTTATATTTTAGCCCTATAATCTGCACATTTTCTCCATTATTCTCTATTCTGTAATTCCAATTAAAACCCTTTACTATATGATTGTCAGGTTTGGGGGCGTGGGACTTTGTCTATATTCTTGTATTTTGTAATTTTTATGTCATTTTTTTTTGCTTATCATTCACTATTTACCTATTTTTACTGTATGTTTTAGTCTTAGCCAACTTTTCCCTATCCAGTAAACTCCATTATATATACATCTACAAAACAACATACCATGCGCAATATGATCTTTCACGTTTGAAATTTTGAAGCAATTTTTATAACAGTCAGTTTAATTTGTTCCGCTGGAATCTGTCGACTCATAACTAATCGTTAGTCATCAACTCAATATCATGCAGATGTTCGTAAGACTAATGAAATGTTCCGGTTCTTCGTTAAATCGATATTACACAGATAATTCATTAAACACTTACACGATAATTTTGTGCGCACAAACAATTTATAAATATGAGTATTCTTTCAAGAATTATAAAATACGGCACCAATTTCACTGCACAAGATGTGCATTGTCTCCGGTGATGCTCGAGGCCAAACCATTTGAAAATCCAATACATAATACAAACGTTGATGAGCTGATCAACCAAATTGACCGAAAGTATAGCCATAACTGGACAAGGAATCAGAGCTTTTCATGATAGAGATATATTCCTTCATATTCAATGATTTCTCAAAGTTAATAACAGCAAAGTTGAATCAAAATAATATCCGTATTTTCATGCCAGTACCAACATACTGGCTCATGGGCTGCTGATTCCATCTGAGACTTACAGGCAGAAGCCACTAACAAAGGCTATCCAGTTGCAGTAATAATATGAAGGGTAACTTTTTTACTACGTATTCCATCTTTCAGAGTTATAAAAATAGTTGTTGGGATGTGACATTTGTTTACGCCAGTATTCATAGCAGTACCTGGTTTCTAATTATCTATTTAATATCATCATGCGGATGATCTGACCACTTAAATGTTACAGTTATCATTCACCCATGTTCATTAAAATTGTTCATTTTTTTTTATAAAGAGAAGTTCCATGGTATTTGTCATTAGTCAGTGACCTTTGTAACATCTTGAATAAATTGCATGGTAATTGTCATTAGTCAGTCACCTAACAACTTAACAAAACACAAATATCCGTCTGTAACCATAGTAACAATCAAAAATTAGATATTATAAACTATTTATAGGGCTCTAATGCATCCGGTTCTAGACAAGATGGGAATAAATTCAAAATAGGTTACCAAATTAAACGTCAGCACCAATTTCTCATGACAAACTCACTAAGATATTACTAAACACGACACATGACGAGGTTCCGAACTTAGGAAAGGAACATTCACAATTGGCTGACTTACAAAATCGATCCCTATTAAACAATTTATTTTAATTTTATGAAACAATACCTGTGTATTAACGTGGTTGTTTAATTTTTCCGTGTATTTTCTCCAAAGGAACGCACTGGGTCAACGAAGTTACCAATATGTTAATTAGAAACAAAACAGAACTAGATTCCAGTAGCAAAGTTTCGACGATGTTAGAAGTTATTCCCGATCTCTCAGTCCTAGAAGCACTGCCATCACCAAGGTTACTTAATACTCATTTCTCATTTAAATATGTACCAAAGAAGCACATCGAAAATAGATGCAAGATTATTCATATGATTAGAAACCCGAAAGATGTCTGTGTCTCGTTTTACTACCATGCCAAGAGTGACCCATTACAGGATTTTACTGGATCATGGGATGATTTTTTCGAAATGTGGATGTCAGACAAATGTAAGTTAGCAACAACCAAAATCATGAAAAGAAACTCATTATCTAGACATTTATTCAAATGATCCACACAGTTAAACTGGTAAAAAAATAAAGAAAATATATGTATTTGTTCTAATTTTGTAATATGCATAACATGAGATTAATTGATTGATTGTGGGTTGCTTAACACCTAGTGAATACTATTTCATCCATGTTCAGGATGAATAATAAAACGGTGATTTACGTCAAAGAATCTGCAATATTCTTATATAGAAAAAAAAAGACAAACTTCGTCAGACTCTATAGTTCACCTAATGATCCTCAATGACGAACACATCTTCACATTATATGTCCAACTGCACAAAAGATCGGAAATATAGAAAAAATGTTCACATTTTGCACAGATACTATCGTACAATGTAGATCGATTAAGGACAGAAGCATTCGGATTTAACTTAGGAAAAGCACGATCAGAGTTGAAGACTTTTGTCCTTTAAACTTTTTGCCATACTGTTGTCTTTCAATTTGGACTTATGCTTTGTATTACTTTATACTGCCCTTTTGGTGTATTTTATTTTATTAAGGTCTTTCCTTATAGTGAAAGCAAAGACCTTACTAAATTTCGTCTGATTATTATTCGTTTCCCGCAAAACTTTAACGACATTTCCCCAAAAAATTACACTACAAGTTGACATAATATTATGTACCAAGTATTGGTTGACCAAAAGCTATTTTGTGGTTAGGGCACCACGCCATAACATTTCCTTTATTGCGATTTTCTGCACTAACAACGAAAACCTTGTTATCATTCAAACTCCGTAATCGTAATAGGTAGAATAAATCAAAGGGTGGAATGTATTCATGACCAGACCCTAGTTCTTCGTTACATTTGTATCGATGTCGGCTGTTCACTAAAACTCAGAAACTGTAAGTCGTAGCCACCTAGGGTCTTCACCAATGATCATCAATTCACCAAGGTCAAATGTTAACGTTGACATTGACCTTTATCCTTACATCTTGTTATGGTAAAACCTCAGAAACCCTTATACTTACAGAAGTCTTGAATAGTGGAAAATGTTTTGGTCATAAAGACGCAACTTTGTTACAGTTTTACCAAATAGTTGACCTTGTCTTAAGGGCATAGACCCTGTTAACGGTTTTTGAAAAGACAAAAATGCTTTAACTATGAAACTAAAGGTCTTAGAGTCATGAGGTCTTCAGCTATAATATTGGGGACCAGTGACCTTGACTAAGATCAGAAAAGCAAAAGTGAAGGGCATGTCCCAAATAGCGAATTATGTGTTTTTGATGGTGTTTAACTGTGGTTTACAGCTTTTTAAAAGTTGATCTTGACTTTTGACCTTAAAACTTTTTATGGGATATATGAAAAAAAAAACATTTTACTAACAGAAATCGTGAACAATGAAAAATGTTTATGTCATTAAGCGCAACTTTTTTACATTTGACCGAAGAGATTTAACCTATCATTAAGGGGCACAACCTCTGTTAACGGTTTTTGAAAAGACAAAATTAGCTTTAACTCTTGAACCAAAGGTCCTAGACCCATGGGGTCTTTTGCAATGACATCGATGACCAAAGTCAAGGTCATGTCCTAAATTGCGAATTATGTTTTGTTTCACTATATTTAAGGGTTTTTATGTGTGTTTTAAAGAATATTTTCTATTATTATCAGTATAATCAAATTTGTTTAACTCTGTTCTTCACTTGTAGGTCCGTATGGATCATGGTACAATTATGAGAAAGAAATGGATCAAGCAGAGAAAGATTTTCCTGGCATGATATATACTTGCTACTTCGAAGAAATGAAAAAGGTTGTACTCCTTGTACATAGTGCAATCATTTCAATTATGTGGACCCCCCCCCCCCCCTCAATATTGCAATTACAAATTACTGCTGTTCTTATTTATAACCCAAGAAGGTTCTTAAACTAATTTACACCACAAGCGGACTTCTTTCTTGCGAAACAAAAAAGTAATTTTAGATTTAAGCAGAATGGTTGTGTTTAGATTATCAATGTAATAAGTCATAAGTATACACCAGAAACCAAATCATGTTTTATTTTAAATGACTGTTTGATTAATATTATAAGACTGGTAAAACATGGAATTTACACAGGTAAGGTCACGTGATATCAAAGTGTAAGCTCTAATGAATTGTAATTTTATTCTATAAAGGATAGTAAAGGAGAGATACAGCGATTGGCTAATTTCCTAGGAATACCATGCACCGAAAAGACTATAGAAAAAATTGCCGAAACAACGTCCTTTAATAATATGCAGCAAAATAAACTAGATATCACGAAAGTAGTTTTTGGAAAAGGCTTCATATTTAGAAAGGGTAATATAACTTATATAGTACACAGAGATTATAGAATGTGCATTGTTTTAACAATAATAATAGTATAATAACACTTTAATCCATTTGAAAATACCTCAAGATTTTGCTGTTTTGTCGTTCTGTACAATACCGACTAATGCTGCTATTGATATATGGAGGATATAGACAGGAGTTAAAGGAACTCATTTCATCTCCAGCAATGCAGTAATCAAATCCAATATGGTAATTACTAAGTAATTGTAAACACAAATCAATTGGGGAGATGGATGTTACTATTGAGATGATTGTATTAAGGAGTTGGCAATTGGAAAACTAAAATAGTCACGTTTATCATAGATCTCTGTTAAAAGTCGTCCATTTTTGTCAATTTATTTTCAAGACCGAGATCTAAATACGAAGACAGTATTTTATTTTCACATCGTGCCTTAATGTTGATCGCACTGTGTTGTATGATAATGTATTCCTGTATTCGCTGAAAAGTGGGTTATTGAGTAATAGGAAGTATATCACCTATATATATATATGAACATGAAGCTTAAAAACTTACAAAATGCCGTAAACCATTTTGTCTTTACATGAAAAGTTATTGCGCGATTTCGGCTCCATATCAAATTATACTTTCATTTCCATTCAGGTGTGCCAAGTAAGTACTTATTTGTATGCCGACTCTGCTCTGAGATGTAAACCACCATACTTGTTTAACCGACCATAACATTTAAAACTACCAATACATAAGTCAAAACTGTCTTCTTATACATAAGTAAACACTGTCTACCTATGCATAAGCCAAACTTGTGAAAACCACGAACTTCAAGGTTATTTTTTTTTTTTTTTTTTTAAATGACTCAATTTTATTTCTATCTATTATACTACTAAAGGAAGAGATCGATTTCATTGAGACGCATCTCCTCTGAAACCATACAAAGTCGGAAATATTTGTGTTATGACGTATAAATGTAGTGTTTTGTACTTCCTAAATTTGTCTTTGAAACAATCTTTTTTCCACAGAAAACGCCAATTTTTGAGAAAATAACATAATTAGGAGACCGTGTCTTAAACGCTTTCACGCATGCTCAGTCGATGTATCGCCCGCGAAATTAAAAAAAAAACTCTTTGTTTCAACACTTGCCCAATTGTACTGCGATTTCGCGGGCATCTTCTAGTAGTTTCTATATCAAAAGGCACAACAATACCGAATTTAATATTTTTATTTTTTCAATGCACATTCTCTGTTTGGATGACACTCTTTTTTAAGAATAGCTTAAGGATGTCCGCTCCTCTTGTTTTTGAATTTTTGCCAGATATTCGGAATCCTCTGGTTTTATCCATGTAGTGCCATTAAAAAATTTTCCCCGCTAACCCCTACTTTTCTTTTCATAATTTTATTACATATGGTTTAAAAAGCCATATTTGAAAATCCTATAAAATCCTTGTTATTTTCTCATAATTTTTATATGAAAAAGGGTACCAATGTTAAATGTATGAAAGATCTAGAGAGAATTATTTCCCGCCAAATTTTCAATGGCTTATATCTCGAAAACAAGCACATGGACCCTTCATTTTTTTCTGCTTTTTTAGTTCCTTTATTTATATCCTATCAATTTATAAACAGTCTTTTAAAAAACTTGTTATTTTGAAACAGAGTATCAAACATCCTGAATAAGTTCTTACCATGCGACTTTTCTTCTATTCATACATTTAAATGCAAACATATATGTCAAAGTTTTAGATCGATGACATACAATACAAAATTTAAATGACAAAGGGTTCCTTGTCATAGTTAGTATTGAAATCATTTTCCAATAATTCTGTTTCAGGGGAAATAGGAGACTGGAAAAACCATTTTACAGTTGCACAAAATGAGCGGTTTAGTGTACACTTCACAGAAAGATTTAAGGACAGTTCATACACACTTTCTTTTGAATAAAGTATCATTTGTTAGAAACAAAAAAATGTAGCGGCATTCCTTTTCCAAATGATGTAAGATGGCAAGTTTAATTTAAAATATACACTCAGGTATCTAGCTATTAAAACAATAACATAGTGTACGGTGATGTCCAGATTTAATTGAGGAAAATAGAAATGGATCGTGGATACAAATAAACAAAATATAGAGATCAACAATGGATGCTATTACAGTATCAAAGGCAGAAACTACGAGATTGAACGAGAGAATCATCATTATTCAAGTTGAAGATGAAACCTACTTTTTCTTAACATGTAAATTTAATAAATATTTATAAAAACAGCTTGAATTGTATTTTTCCAGGATTTTTGAAATTATCTGAAAAAGATAGATTAGAATTACTTCTTTCTTCATTTAATATTATACAGCTTACTTTAAAAACGTCATTTGCACTGTTGAGAGTGGACACAGTACATGCATAAATATTATTACTTTTTTTACAACTGCTATTTATGATGTTTGATATTTTATAATTTTTGCATTGTGTATATATTTGTATTGTATTGTTTATATGCATGCAACTCCTCGAAATATAAATATACATTTCATTAATGAATATATCATTAATTTTAGTTTTACATAAATGTATTTTTTATTATTAATATGTGTTTTGATTTCAAATTAGACAAATACCCACAAACGTATTTGTGACGTGAAGGGTAGCAATAACATGTAAATGTAAGGACTTCAACAATGCGCAAAACACATACCGTATAGTCAGCTGTGCAAGGTCCACTCTTGGCAAAATGTTATTTAATTGAAAAGAATTAAACAACTATCTTGTTAATGCAAAAACAATAGACGAAACACGAATATTTCAAATAGCAATCAATCTCTGGATCATGACATAGGGAAGGCTCATACAGAGTGTAGCGGGATTAAAATAAACTTCTCAGTGCCAAACACTTCCTTAACCTGCTACAGTTGTGTAACAGCCCAATATATAAAAAAAATAGTTAAAATATGTTGAAAATTGAAATATAATTTATTAGGCACAAAACACAAACAAAATAACAACGAACAATAAATCAAAGACTGAAGTTACCTCTATTAGAATAATCGTTTTTCCTCAAATAGATATAAGAAGATGTGGTATGAGTGCCAATTGAGACAACTCTCCATCCAAGTCAAAATTTATAAAAGTAAACCATTATAGGTCAAAGTACGGTCTTCAACACGGAGCCTTGGCTCACACCGAACAGCAAGCTATAAAGATCCCCAAAAATTACTAGTGTAAAACCATTCAAATTTTTATTTTTGCCAATTACCTTGAAAATTATAATAGATACAGAAAGATTCAGAATGCAAATATGATCATTAAGACAAGATTTACAAATATGTCTACAAGATCGAAATCGTCGGTCGACTCCTTTTTTGCGTTTTTGCCCTTTGAAGATAATTGTTTTACCACTTTTGTGTGCGTTTTTGTCTTAAATATTGTAATAGATAGATATAAACTTATAAATAAGCAAACATGATCAACGGGACAAGATCTACAATTAAGACAGATGGAGGAAATTGTCCGAGGACTCCTTATTGGAATTATTGCCCTTTAATGTCAAATTTTACCAATTTGTTTTCGTTTTACCTTATATGATAAAAGTTATAATAGATAAATAGAAACTTCGAATAACAAATATGACCAGCAAGGCAAGATCTACAAACAAGTCAAATTTTGCCGATATAGTTAGTATGCCACTTCTTATTCAAGAGATTGCCGGTAAATGAGGATTGTTCACCCTTCTTTGTGTTTTGAGCTAAAGAAATTAGAGAGAAACTACGCAAACCAAACCATCAGCAATACAGCTATACAAGATCAACACAAAAGAGATTTTTGTCATGAACTCTATTCTCTTCTACAATGAGAAAGTCGTTTGCTGAATATGAACATAGACCCATGTGAGCAACACAGGCTCTTTAGAGCCTCAAGTTTTTTTAAACACTAATTTCAAACACTTGAAATTTTAGACGTGACCGATTACGCAAATATCAAAAACTGCATACTAGTCGTTTTAAATTTTTTTTTAACATCAATCAATCAAGATCAAGGCGTCACATATTCCGACTTCCAAAAAAGAAGATACATCAACTGGTTTCCACTCACTTGAACTGCGTAATTTCATGCACCAGAGACCAATACAGTCCTGGAAAAAATATTTCAATAAATCAAGTTTTTTTTTAAATTCTATTCTAACCAGATCTATCATGTATAAAACTCATTATTCAGTAGCATTGGCTATTTTAAGACCTCAAAATCCATGCGATAATATAACATTTAATTCCAGAGTAAGGCTCGAACAAGTCAGAAGATTGACGACTGTTACTCTAAAATAACCCTCTTCGATTAACCATCTTATTCAATATCGTTATTAATATGTTCCCCGTCTGTTTTTAAATTAATTACTCATAAACTAGCTAGTGTACCATTCTTTCTAGATTTTTTATTGGAACGGAAACGAAGACTATGAATTTAGAAATGTTTGACTCTAAAACCCGAATCATATTTCAATTATAAACAAATTGATATTTAAGCCATCATTGAAATTGAATAGAATAAAATAGTTTCCCCAATCTACAGAAATATTGTCCAGACGAGGTGTAAATATCTAAGTCTGGATATCGAGTCTCTTTCAAATTTACATTTGCGCGCATTGCCATTACATTTGCGCGCAAAAGTCATTACGCTTGCGCGCAGCTTTTGATTACATTTACGCGCATTTATTTTACAGGTAAACTCAGTTGTAAACAGTTAGATTATATTTATTTATTTATCTAACAATTATTTTCGAGCAGGTCAAGACGGTTTTATTATGGACAAGCCTTTAGTCCTGGAAATATATAAAGATGAAAATATAAATACATAGAAAATCTAAAGATTAAAGTGCTGATTTTACATGTCGTAACCTGCTGAATATTTGAAGTCCACTGCTTTCCTGAAATACATGGATGGTAGGGATGCCCAGATACTTGCAGAATCTGGTGAAATACCTTTGCAATTATACACGGTGAACCGCCTTGAAATATCCCCTGTCTTTAGTGTTTTGACGATATCCATCATTAGCACATACTTACAACTTCTCGTCCAATCATATTGCTTGAATTTGCCTTCTAATTTTCATAGTACATACTTTTTCCGTGTACTAAGTTACTACGCATGAATGACCACAAGGGTAAGATTTCATTGTATTATAATCAAGATATGAAAACAAAAATTGCCACTGGCTATTTTGAAATAAAATGCTGTGTTGCAAATTAAATTAAATAGTTTGTAATTAGTTTTCACATTGATTTTTAAATATCCTGCTATTAAAGTCTTTGGATCTAAAAAATGTTTTTTGACAATTGCAAGTTTTTTTTTCATTTAGATAAAGAGTAACAAATATGGTTCTTTATACCTTGATTAGAGTACAACTGCTATCTTAAAATTGTAATAATTTATCATCCATGCAATTAATTTGTACACAAAAAAAGTGTGAACTATGAATTATTGTAAAGGGAAATTAAGGCAACTTGGTGATTTCATTAACTTTCTGGGGGGAAAATGATCTATTTTGTCATTAATTGATTGATTGATTATTGACTGCTTAATGTCCAGTGGCAAATATTTCTTGAATTGAAAAACCGTAATAATGTCTGAAGAGAATGTGCCACCTATATATATATACATATACACATATTCTGATAAATCTTTTAGTTTTCAAAACCTATAATCTCTGATCTATTGGTAGTTGCTTTTTAATGCTATCCGCTAGACAATCTATGGGGACGAACTATCTATATGTTTCAAATAATTTAAATTTATTATAGCTTTAGTTTTACTGTGAAATTGAAAAGTGTTTTCAAAACATGTATAGTTTCCACTGTAATTTAATTATTGTCTGCTTTTGGTCAATTCTTTTTGTCATCTTACCATGTAAAGAAGTACATGTATAGTAAAACACTGCTTTATATCAATATACATACTTACACCAGCAGCTACCGTCTTTTCATTCTGGAGTCACTAGGGTCTTTTGAAATAACATATCTTACAATAATACTAGTGAGTAGATTTACAAAACATAAAATTCGTTTTACAAACACCTGTGATACAAGTAGTCAGCCAAAATAAACTATCAATAGACCAATTAAAAGATTACTCGAGTTGTAAATATGTGCTAAATTGGATAGTCTATGGAAAGGTACATGTATATACTATGAAATTAAGAGCTCGGGGCAAGCCCCTCGCTCTAAATTTCATAGTATATACCATTCCATAGACTAACCTAGACTTCACTCATGATTTTTCTCCCGATTTGTTTCTGACAAACGAACATCATGTTAGTGGCTTGATGCAACTTACGAACTGACTAAAATTATTTACTATTCTGTAAAATTCGGAAGCAAATTACTATAATTTACTCTCAGACTGAAATATTCGCAATACAATTACATGTATGTCTTAAGCTATTACGTGATTTCTCATAATCACTTTATTTTTTTTCAGAATTCAATATGAAAAAGATATAATTCAAATGTACAAATATGTTCAAAATTAATAATAACTATAGTCATATCTACTATGAATTATATTTGTTTTTACCTGTGTTACCTGTAAAATGAATGGACAAATGTAATCAAAAGCTGCTCGCAAAGGTTATATTTTTTTAATCCCCAAATGCGTGCACATGTAAAGCGCCCAATATGGCTACATATGTGTTAATCCTTCCCTTCATAGTACATGTAGTAGGTATGATAGAGGCATATCTATAAATCCTGCAAACATTTAGAAAAAAACTAAGTTTAATGACATCGATTCATGCCATGTTCTCGTCCTGAATAAATATGAAAGAAATACTTGCCACTGGACGTTAAGCAAGCAACAATCAGTAATAACATGTTTCCAATACCAATTTTGTTAAATGATCATATATTATGATTTTTTTGACATGACAGTAAAAAAGAACCGAGAGCAGTTTTGCGAGAAGAGCACGCAATATCCAACTCATCCTAATCTTTATCATTAATCAACTATACGTTATGGCGCATAGAGTCCAAAATGAAAAATTTGTATACGTGGATTTTTCGTGTACCTATTGTATGAGAAAAACACATTTGTGCATGCTGTACACGATAGAATTTTTTCTCTCCAAATAAACAGAAATTGCACTTTGTGTGCCCCGTGTCGAAAAACTACGGATAATAATTTAGTTTATGTTAATTTCAAAGTTTACATAATATGTTCTTATTCTTCTATTTTTCACATGTTTGCCTACAAATGTAGCGAGTCTGTAAGACCAAGTAAAAACGTTCACTGTTATTTTTTTCTTCTTTTGAGCGATAACTATTTCAAAATATAATGTTAACTGGGTATTATCTTTCAAAAAAAGGTCGGATTTGACTCTAAGTATTGAACTTAGCTTTTTTATTCGTGTTGTATACGTGTGAATCAAATAGAGAGCGCATCAATGTTTTGAACTAACTGTGGAGGTTTTTTTTGCGATTGGGAAAAATAAACGAAAGGAAAACTTTGTTAATGAACAAGTTTAAAGCATACACTACTCGTTTCAAAGATATTAACGTTGTCACTTTTCCCGTATGTTCGGGAACATCATCATGGGAAATC